CCAAACACTTCAGCTAAAGGAATTTTTTGTATGCTTGTTGAACCCATAATCAAATCCAATATTAACTCTACAGCAAAAAATGAATCAAAGACAACAAGCTACTCGAGAACTTATCCTGCTCTCCCTACACCTATTTCATCAAACAGTTTTGCAGCCTTGGAAGACTTGGAGGAAATAAACGAGAACAAAAATAATAAAAAGGATATACATATGGTTTACAATGCTGATTCAGAAAACAGCACCAATTGTTACTCATTAAACAAGGTAGACAAAATGGTAGTAGAAATCTCAGAGCATACAACACCTGACAACACTTAAATAGAAGCTAAAAACAAAACAGTATCACAAAATGGTGATAAAACGTTGAACAACAAAGCACCCAACCTCAATCAATAAATTTTAAAAACAATAATGAGCACCTGGAGGAAACTGGAATTCAAGATATTCTAAATGGATTATCAAAATTACCTACCTAATTCCCAGTTTTGTATAACTATATAGTATTGCCAAGTGGAAAATCCATAAAACAAGGACTGAAACAAACTTAAACAATTCTACAACAAGTCCAATAACTATGTTCTATGAATGGAAATCAAACAGTAAAAACCCACTAGCTGAATAGATAATGCTTTTTGGTCATGGAAGGTTATTATCTCTGAAAATGTTTCACAAACAAAATCTAACCTAAAGTTTAGCTTTTATTTATTTTCTTTAAAAATGGACTTTGTATTATTTGAACTTGATTTGTTCATGTTTTCATATTCTTTTTTGTTCACGCTTGTTTCTTTCTGTTCGGTAGTTTTTTGATCACCATATATTATTCTCTTATTTAGACTTGTTTTACTCTGGCTGACAATATTTTGGGCTTCGATATATTCAACTACTTTTGGTGTTCATTATTAGTAGCCCATTTCAAGTTGTAATCATTATCCGCGTGAATATCAGCATCATTTCCTACAAGACATTTGGCAATGTCCATTCTTCCTTTCTTGGTTGCTATTCCTAACATTGAGTCCCAAATATAACTGAAGTACTCTTCTCCTCCAATTAGGAAGTTTATAAACTCTGCATATTGATTTTTAATTTCAGATATAGAAAGAGAATTACGTTTGATTTTGATATCCTCAAATAGTTTTCTCCAATAATCCTCTTTTGCTGGCCATCTCCAGTGCCCAGTCTTGATCTGCGTGAACATCAGCACCTTTCTTAATTAAATATTCCACAATATTTAGGTGGCCATTTTCGCAAGCTTCTTTTAAAGCAATTTCATTGTCTTTATGAATATCTGCTCCACTTTCAACTGGATTTTGTACAAAACAAAAATATCCATTAGAGCATGCCCACTTTAAGCTATAATTTATTTCTGTGTGAATACTGGATTTATTGTTCTGGAGATAAAGATTATTGGAGTTTTGATTTAGTTGGGGGTAACAAGGGATATAATTTTTTACATATCCATATAAAAGCGCCTTTTTGAATAAGATATCTAACAATATCTAAATTTTTAATTGTCACTGCTGATATAAACAATGAACAAAGCTCTTTTTCTTTATAATTGCCACTCTCAAATATGAATTTGAAAAACTCAAAGTTTCCTTTTTTACAGGACTCAAAAATAGCCCAATCACTAAAAGAAAAAAAGGGAGTGATATTCTAGAAATTGTTTATATAGTTCTATCCCTTCTTTTTCAAACATATTAGTCAGTTTTTCTTTACTTAAACCTTTTGAATACCCTTTAGGATGAAGCAATAAATGAAAATCCGATTCGATAAACCTCGGTTTGGGTTTTAGTTTATCACGTTTAATATTTTCTTAAAGATATTAATTTGTCCTTGTTCCAGTGCTAGAGCAAGACATTCTGCATAATACTCGTTCATATACATTCTAGGTATGTAGTATTTAGTTCCTGATTTTGTTGATGCAGACTCTATAATTATACTTTCTTTGTATCCAGGGCGGCTGTCGGCAAACCCTCGATATCACTTTGTGTAGTCTCAACAACTTTATTTAACAAATATTCCACTACTTTATCCCACCTCCTCTCAATTGAAAGAAGAAACAAAGAGTTTTCTTTTTTAAAATCTAAAAAAGCACCTTTTTTCCAATAGAAGGTGTACCAATTCCTCTCTTTTGAGCAAATTGGGGTAATGAAAAAAGTGAACTTTGGGGTTTTGAGCTAGAATAAATATCCTGGAGGGAATTTCGTAACTGAGGATTGTGTTCATTTTAGAAAGAATGAAGTTGAGTAAAGGATAAAGAATATTCTGTTAAAATAGTTGGTGTCGAGTTCTCGATATTGTTTTGTGAATTGATTTAGAAACTTGAGCGACCATTTATACAAAAGCTTGGACATTTGTCAGTTTTTTCACATTCCCAGAACTCTCTCTTTTTTTTAATTTGATACTTTTTTTTGGGGTTAAAATACTTTAAGTCTATCAAAAAAAAACCCTGAAATCATTTATCCTCAATTATTTTTAACTAACAAGATAAATTCAAAATAAATACAAGTAAAAAATGCTAGAAAATTATTGGCTGAACTTGACTTTTTGATTTCATTCACTAAAACCAAGTATTTTAGTTTCAGTTTTCTTGTTTCTTTTTTCTTTTGGGTTGAACAGTAATATGGACAACTTTTGTTTATTAAAAGTTTCTGTTGTTTGATAAATTGTGTACAGCACCAAATACCCCCAAAGCTATAATCCAATGTAAATATTTGGAGTGCTGGCCAGCCATTTATGTAGTTAATATTTTTGTCAAAAGTTAATATATTATACTAGGAAATACTTGGAAACACCCCCTTTCTAACTGTCGCTGTTATCTTATAATTATTGTGTTTTTGGTGAAGCTATGTACATTTGAGAAAGTCTTTTTTTCTGTTCATTTTTTATCATGCTATTTTTACAAATTTTAAATTTTTTTAAATTTGTATATACAGGAGAATCCATATAAAAACATCTCAATCGCTTGATAGTTCTCTATAGGCTTCAAAGTTTTTGGTGGAATATAGTAGAACCTTTATAAATACGTTTCTTCTATTTTTAAATCCTTTTATATACAAAGGATAAGAAGTTATGGAAACTTGGTTGTACCTTCAAGTAGCTAACTAATAAACAACTTTTTTTTGCTGGATATGCTTTTCTTTTATTGGAGATTAAGTTGGACTTTTTTTAATATAGTTTT